AGAAAATAACTATAAAAAAAAGAAAATAAAATAAGAAAAAATGAATAAGTGTGCATAATTTAATTAGAAAGAAAAAAATAAAGTGAAAAATAATTTTAAAAAATGTGAAAAAGTGGGAAAAAAAGACAAAAAAAAAAACGTGAAGAAAAAACAAAGAAAATAAGGAGAAAGGCCCTTTAATGAAGCCTAGGGCTCTAGACATAGAAAGGAGGGGGCAACCCTATTTTAAAATCTTCAAAAGGAGCATGTTTTGTTTTTTCAAAAAAGGAAGCATTTTGGTCATTAAATTTTTAAAAGGGCTTCTGAGTGTTATTTTCTCATGAAAATAGCATCGGCTAGCCAGTTTTCGGATATGTAATTAAAAAATAGCCAGCGTTTGTAAAGTCATTGAAAAATAACCACTATTTTGCTGCAACACGGAAAATTCCAGCATAATATACTGGAGATTTTGCACCTGTGTGTGAACTTCCAGCATATTAAGCTGGAACTCCAGCACACGGAAAGTTCTAGCATAATATACTGGAGATTGGAGTACATGTGTATGAACTTCCAACATATTATGCTGGAACTCCAGTATATTATGCTGGAACTCCAGTATATTATGCTGGAAGTTGACATGTAAAAAATTCGAACTCCAGTATATTATGCTGGAATATTTTTCGGATTTTGAACAGTATTTTCGTTCAGATTTATCTTTACATGAAAAGTGGCTAAATTTTGATTACTTTTGAAATTGTGATTATTTTTTAATTATCACGTATAAATCTGACTATTTTTTAATTTCACCATGTTTTCTCTTAGATCTTATACTCTAATTAGTAGGGCAGCTTGGTCCTTTTCTGGCCCATTTATAAGTTTTGACTTCTTTGTTCAGAAATTTGAGTGTGGATAACTCGTTACAATTATTTTTATTTTTTGCTTTTCAATAAGGCCCATAAATATGAGATACGGGAAAAGGAGATTAAATTCCACTCTATGCTAAAATTACAAGCATCAAGTCTAGTAGTATCTATTATTGAGTGTGTGAACAAAGTCTCGTATTGATAACTGAAACAATTGAAAGATTATATATAAGGTATAAGGTTATCTTAATAGTATGAGACATTTTGATGAAAATAGTGCATTAAACCAAAGTAGATAATATGTTAAGAGTATCTTTGGGTTGACTTAGACAACATCTTCAAAACGATGAATTAATGATAGGACTTTTGACTGGTTGGTTAATATTTTCTAGGTTGTTGATTTCAGGGGTGGGCATAGTTTGGGCAAATCTAAAATCCGAGTTTTTTTGAATTTTTGGTTTGGATTCTCGGATTACGGATTGGATTTTGAATTTAATTTTAACATTTTTGGATTTCGGATTAGATGTTGGATTTGGTACTTCCAAATTTTTTATACTTTATATTTAGTCCATTATCCNTATATATATTCAATATTAATTACTAAGTTACTATCAGAATACTTTCTATTTGGATATGATTTTACTATTGCTACTTCTTATCGGCCGTATTAATATCTTTATTGAATTTTTTTTAATAATAATTTCATTACTGGAATACTTTATTTGGATGATTGCGGCAAGAATAAGGAACTTTTCAGGAAATTTAACATGAGTACTTCATTTGGATATTCATTTTTGTAAAAAGTAGAAATATCTCAACTTATACGCTCAAAACCTAAAATTCATAATATACAAACCTATTAATCCAAAACCGAACTTAACAAATCTAATTCAATCGGAATTTATTTGGATTGGATTTAGATTGTCATTTCTTAAATTCAAAAACCGAAAATTCAAACCGAAATTCTCATATCCAATTTGAATTGTCCGAACCCCCAAGTTGAATTAGCGAACACATTATGAGCCTGTTTGGATGGGCTCAAACTAGCTTTTAAGCAGTTTTTAACTTGTGGAAGTGTTTGGCAACCAAAAAATGGGCTTAAAAAAGTTAAAATCTGCTTTAAAAGAGCCAAAACCAATAAGTTGAAAAATCTAACTTTTTCTAAATTGGCTTAAAAGCCACNCAACTTTTTCTAAATTGGCTTAAAAGCCATATTGCTTTGACCAAGGATATTATATTCTTATCCCTTATAATTTTTCTTAATCCCGAAATTACCCCTAAGTAAAAACCCTACAACATACTATTTTTTTTCTCCATTCTCCAATATTTGTCAATTTCTTGAAGTTCTTAACGTGAAGCAAATAATAATTTTTTAAATAATATTTGATACATTCCAATATTTTGTAAATATTGTTCTTTTGGCTTCTTTTTTTGGTTCCATAACATTTAATTTTTTGGGTCGTTGAGTCCTTCCTTATTTTTTTAATTGGTGTAACTATATTCTAAAATCAAATCATTCAATGAATTTACGTGTTACCCCTGAATTTGAAGCTATGAACGGAAAATATAATATTATAGTCATCATCTTCTTTATAATGTTAACAACTTTAAGGATATTTCAGTCATTTTAATAAGAAAAAGTGCTTACTAGCACTTGTTTACCAAACACTTCATAAGCTTGTTTTAAGTTTCAGCACTTTTATCCAAACATGTAACTGCTTATTTATAAAACATACCAAACACTTCATAAGCTTGTTTTAAGTTTCAGCACTTTTATCCAAACATGTAACTGCTTATTTATAAAACAAGTTCCAGTACTTAACTTAAAAGCTATTTTTTTTAAACCAATCCAAACGGGCCATGTGTGAGCTTGATGCCCACTGATCGGCAGTTGAATAAGCGACTAATTCAATATTTTTACACACGTAGCCCGTCTCCCATTATATTGTCTTTCAATGACATTGTGCGTTGAAAATACAAAGACTGTAGCGCTTTTTCGAGGGAAGACTTGAGGTAGAGAGAAATATATCTGAATGGTTGGTAAGAATATAATCTTGAATTGTTGCGTTAGATTGTGTTGTCTTTATTTAATTTCTTCAGTCTTTGACATAATTTATGTTATTTTGACTGTGTCCTCTCCCTATCATCCACCCCACCCCTCTCACTCTCTTAAGAAAAGGGTGGAGATTTGAATTATACACATGTAGGTCTACTAATTCTTTTTTTATAACGATGGTATTGGAGACAATTTGCATGTATAAATCTCGGCTATTTCTTTAAATGCCTCTTATTTCTCACCAACAAGTGTAAGTCTACTAAATGGTTTTCGGATTAATTTGCTCGCATTTTATGTCATTTAGGGGTGGGCTTCGGTTGGTGCGGTGCGGTTTGCAAGAAGTTCGGTTCGGTTATTATTTTTGTATACCAATAACTGAACCAATATAAATCCGGTTGGTTCGGTTTTACAAATTACGGTTCGATTAATTTTCGGTTTTGTTCGGTCACTCTTAGGGCTGCCATATTTGGCTTTTTTCTAACTGAAAATTGAGTTTTACATTTAATTTCTTTAAAAGTTAGCTTAAATATAAGCTGAAAAACTTGTAGTTGGCGACATGTATCCCAAACGGCATTGAGCATCAAACTATTTCTGCCATAAAAAGAGACTGTTTTACCTCACAAAAATGAAGCAGCAACATCAAAGAAACAAAGAGGTAAAGTGTAAATGCTAGCTATATATCAGAATCTAACTAAATCGATTATTCACTATAAGACTATGCATCCTAAAAATGCATGGTTACTAAAGCACAAAAATATATTTATTGAACAAATTTACCTGATTAGCGAATCCCAAAAGAGAACTGAAACCACACACTACCCTAATGCTTAGCCATGACATATGTTTAGTCTTTAGAAATCACTAGTCAGAAGCCCAGAACCCAATATCTCAAATTCTCATACCCAAACTTCGGTTGTTCGGTTAATAGACTAATAGTGGAAAACCGTAAACCGCACCGAATATCAATGTTTTAAAAAATATAAATCGCATCGATCAAATTAACCGAATATTCGGAACCGATAAAATCAAAATTCTTGGTTTAGACGATTTTTTCGGTTCGGATGGCATTATGCCCCACTTATATCATTTCATCGAGTGCATACAATTAAAGTATAGTAGTTCCATATAGTAGCTCTGTATCTTGTACTTAGACCAAACTTGAAGGCTTACTCTTCATCTAGACATCATTACCCCTATAAGTAATTCTGTAGATCACACCAAACAAACAAATTAAATCTGACCTCTAAACTAAAAGCAACATACTTTAATTTGTGTGAAAGAGATCCTGTGTGGTATGACTCAAACTACCCACCAATACCCAAACATCCTTTCCTTTCAAGTCTTCCAACCGCAGTGTTCTAAATTCAGTCAATCACTTTCTTTTGATACTTCCGCCAAATGCCAGCTATACTAAATTTAATGACTTGGGCATAAATTTTGTCAAAATAAACTTAGGTTTTATTTGGCAAATACATATTTGGCCATAGATTTTACCTACATTTTGGTCAAATTCCAAGTCCCAAATCCCAAATATCACTATTATATTTTTTAAAAATTGCCCCAAACTTTTATATTTTATAAAAGAGCCTACAATTTATTATTTTGTAACGATGTTGTTTCGTCTTCTCAGTCATCTGATAGTGTATCATGTAGTTCATTATAAAAATGATAATTTTGTATCAAATTTATTTATGTTCAGGACTATGATTTGCGATAATATAATGAATATTATTGATAATGTTATTGTTGGGTATTTGTGATAGTTTTTAGAACTTGTGGGTATAAATCATGTTTCATGTTTTTCCAAACCAAATTTTACTCAAAACATATGTCCAAACACATTTTCATCTTCAAACCAAACTTCACCCAAATCAGATTTTTCAGAATAAATTTGGGAATCTATGATCAAACGCTAGTTAAGTTTCCTTTTGATAAAAGAAATTCTTAGGGCATCAACTTTGCTTTCAAGAAATATTCTAAAATTACTATAACTACTATAAAAGTCTACTTTTTATATNCGGGGGGTGGATGTCTTAACAGGGCATGAGGCGTGCCTCCTAGTAGTGGCGCTTTAATTAAAGAAGTCCATCATTATCACAAGCAGCAGAAATGTAATTCTCAAAAATTCCATTTGGTTTCGCCTAAAGATATATATAACTGCTGAAGCAGAATGAGACTCTTCAGTTGTCTTCTCTTGTGAAACTCAAAAGCAGACAAAAAACCCCTCCTCTAAAAACCAAATAGTTAAATTCTCAGTACATATCCATGGCTTTTGTTCTTGACAACAGACCGAAAATGGCTTTGGTTTTCTTAATTTTAGCTTCTTTTCTGCAGCTCTCTCTTGGAGTTAACTATAAGGTTGGAGACTCAGCTGGTTGGACGACTATTGGTAATGTTGATTACAAGCTATGGGCTGCTAATAAAACCTTTCAAGTTGGTGATACAATTGGTATGTCCTTTCCTCTTCCCTTTTTCTTTCACGTTCATATACATACATAAAAAAAAATCTCTTTGATTTCATAATTCTTGGTATTTTATGGTGATTCCCATACTCCAATTGTTATCTTTTGTATTATGAGGAGAAAATATCAAACTTTTGCTTAATTTTTCCAAAAATTTGTGATCCTTTGTGAAAAATTACATTCTTGGAGGTTCTAAAAGAGTCCATTTCAAGTTCGAATGTTTTCATATGGGCTTCATGTGTATAATCTTTTTGCAAAAGAATGGAGGATGATTCATAAAGCTCCATTTTCTAGGTTTATTTTCTTGTGTAGTTGAAATTCAGATATTTGGTTCAATAGAAGGGAGATGTAAAATTCTTGGAAGAAAATTGAAACAGTTGTTTGTTCTAACTTTAGGGAACTCCAATAACTGGTATCAGTCCCCCCAGTTTGCCACTATCCACATTAAATTATATAAAAATAAGTACTCTTTTGGCTTATGGGCACACTTGCACTGCACAAAAATAGCATTTTACTCTGTTGTAGCCTCAATTTTTTATACTAGCTTTTAGGCACAAATGCACTGCACAAAATAAGCCCTTTTCTTTATAGTTGCTGGAAAAAATTTAGTTTATTCTTTCACACTATTGGCCTGGGGATTTTTGTGACCCCCTCCCCCGCCGTAAACTTATACTCCTCGCTCCGTTTCAATTTATGTGAACTTATTTCCTTCTTAGTCCGTGTCAAAAAGAATGACTCATTTTCTTGTTTGGAAACAATTTACCTTTATACAATGATTTATAACCACACAAATTATATGTGCCTCATTTTACACCACAAGTTCAAAAGTCTTTTCTATTTTTTTAAACTCCGTGTCCAGTAAAATGAGTTCACATAAATTAAAACGGAGAGAGTACCTATTTTTCTGGTGTATTAATTTTTAAATCCTGAATTTTTCCTTCAATTGACATAATAATTAATTATTTACACATTAGTTTTGTCAGACAAATAGTCAATTTAACTTTGAATAAGAGTAAATTGAAGGTCCCCACCAATATGTACTCTATCTTTCTCTTGGCCAAGCCTTTCAAGAAGTAGGACTTGTGGTACCTAATGTGGTGAAAACTGTGGTGCAATACTATTTTCTTCAACTATTTAAATTTCCTGCCTGCCCATAATTCAGAAAACTACTTACTAGTACTATATTAAGTGTCCAAGGGCTAAAATTACTAGTGGCCACATTTGATAACTTTTCTACTTAATTTGGGTTGCTATTGAATTGATTTGAGTGATCAGTGTCACGCTTTCATGATTGAAATTTGAATGCCCCCACTACTGGCCAAGTCCCAACCACTAACTTCTAACACCCCTGCACCACATTCTCATTGTTTTATCCATGGCTCGCTATTTTTGTTCATTTCCACTGATCAAACAATCGCTCTCTAAGCCCAATAGTCGTCTGAGTTGGTTGGGTGAGTGGTTTTACACATGGGAGACGTGAGATCGGTTTCCCTCACCAGCAGCCTCCTCAGTCAGAGCTTGTTACACCGGACTTGTCTAGTGTGATTTACATTTCCTGTGTGGTTTGCGAGCTATGGCACAGTGAATAGGTTCTCCAGTGCGCACCCCGAAGGATAACGGCTGCGGATTTCCCTGGAAATTTTCCAAAAAAAACAATCGTTCTCTAACTTTTATAAACAAAATTGTATCATCAAGCTACTTAAAAACTAATTAAAGGTAACTGTCTATAGTAAGTGTAGATTACTAACTTGGAAATTGAGTAAGAATGGGCTACAATCCAATTATGATAGATAAACATACTTTTGAAGTTGATCTGTTGGTAAGAATCACCAGGAGAGACAAGTGGCTTAGACATGTTATTTATTCCATGAGATTGTCAAGAGTTTCTTCAGCCTTACTTTGATTACATATTGACCATCAAATCAACCTTTTAATTAAGTTATACTACTAAGCTTCAAACAATTACCGATATCATTGTAGTTTAACTTCTTGTAGCATGTTGATCAGTGCTTGGTATAGACAGTCGTCTTTTCAATAACCTGATAGTATCTTTGTATAAATATGTTTACATATATATACACATATATTCTAACATCTTAATTGATCTGTTGGAGTAACTTAAGTTGGAAATTGTGGAAGTCTAACACCTATAAAATAAACTCATATAACTTGAATAGCCTAGTCATTAATTAAGATAAGACAAACTCAGAGCTGTGATTGATTTCGAGATTCTACTTATTGCTCTCTGACAATGTATATAAGTTAAATCCTTTTATTTTTCCTTTGTATAATTACTCCTCCTAACAATGAAGAGTTTGTGACAGTATTCAAGTACAACCCACAATTCCACAATGTGATGCAAGTGACACATGCTGAGTACCAGTCCTGCAATGCATCTTCACCTATTGCAACACACACAACAGGGAATGACTCCATTACCATTACAACTCATGGCCACCATTTTTTCCTCTGTGGTGTACCTGGTCATTGCCAAGCAGGCCAAAAAGTCGACATCAACGTTCTTCGTACCTCATCATCGGCGTCTCCAAATCCATCTCCTACTTCCAGTCCCCTCCCTGCTGTAACATCTGTGCCTGCTCCTTCTCCTAGTCATGCCTCTTATTGGCTTCCTAATAAAATTGGTATTGTTATGGCTGTTTCTTTAGTTCTCCTTTTTAATTTTGCTTAAGGCAGTCTTTTGATTTTGCAAGTCTTTTTAGGTTTCTACATGCATGGTTATGGCATATGTCAATGACCCAAGTTGAAAACATTAGGTATCTCTTGTTTCCAAAAATGTAATAATTGCAACACAGTTTATGCCAGTTTTGTCATGTGATGATATAAAGTTTGTACAAGATTGTACTTTTCGTTTCGTGTTATATCATAAATTTTACATAACCTCGAAAATGTGAGGGGTTGACATGGTTCAGAAACATAAGCTTATAATATAGCAACGTTTCAACTTTGACGTGTTATAGTGAAAAGGATAAAATCTTCTTTCGTTTTTATGCTCAAATCAAGTTTAACCATCTCTTGACTATTGATGTTAAATGAACGCATTTGCAACTTCTGCTCCAATATATACATTGCACACAACACAGACACATACATGCATATGTCTTAGAATTAAAAGATTATAAAAAAATTAAAAAAGTATTCTATGTAGTCAAAGCTCAACTCTTGAACACTTCTACTATAACTTTTACTCAAGAAAGAAATCAAAATTAATCCCTTTAAATTTCTTTAGTTTGAACTAAGAGGATAATCTGGTGAGTAAAGATGCAACTACTATAACTTGTTCTTTAGTTTGAACAAGTAAGGCTTGCTCAATTGGTAAAGCACCTCGACCCACAACCGTTTAAGTCCTGGGTTCGAGTCACGCTGGAGGAAAAGTGTAAAAACACTATAGATCCTCCTAATTTGGGAGGGATAAAAAAATAAAAATAAAAAGATGCAAAAAGAAAGGTGATAATCCAGCTTGAGCCCTCACTTCGAATAGAGAGTATAAGTTGCTGCAAGGTACAAACATATTTTTCCCCAATGAGGCTGTCCCAATTCAATAGCATTTGACTTTTAATAGCACTTAAGCCCACAAGGTTAATTAACGTAACGCTCCTTTGGGTATTTCCTTTTAATGCTAATTTCAATTGAAAATTAAAAGCAATTCATAACATTTTTTAAATAAAATAAGGTAAACAAGAAATAAATATTATCCTTTTCCTATATGTCAGAAATAAATAAAAGCCATCCAAATGCACAACTGCAAGAACAGCTAGAGACCCACTGGAACCCAAGATTATGTGAAAGAGTATCAGTGAACTATTTCTCTAATTATTCAGTGAAAGGGAGCACAACTTTTCAATTAATTTCTCATACACAATTGCAAGAAGTACAAAAAATTGATCTGTTGCTATAACCCCACGACTCAAGGGGAAATGAATACACTATACATTTCCTAGAATCTAATAACAGATCAGATTTAAGATAGAATCAGATCTACTGCAACCAAAATCTTGAGAGCGGAAGCTGGAAACTCCACTTTACTGCAGAAACAGCAGCACTACCATTGGGATTCCATTTTAAAGAAGACTATCAAGAAGTGGTTGTCCAGCATCTACGTTCCTCTTGATCCTTCTATTGTTAGCTTGTGTACCTCTGAGTAACCAAAAAGAAGTCGCGTAAATTGCTTGAGCTTAGAGGAGTAACACTACAAACTACTATTAATCCATTGATGGAACAATAACTCTATCCAAAAACAATTCTGGCAGATTTAGACTTTGCATAGGTTGATTGATACCTTATTCCCATTTCTTCAGTAATGACTCACGATAATATATTGTTAGATGCACTAAGTTTTAAGAATTGAGCACAAAAATTCACAGGCTATGCAACAGGCATGGTCTGTGCGGAGCTACTACGACAACTTCTTACAAGTATGAGAATGTAATATAGTTCACCAATCTGATAACCAGAAGTAAAATGACTTGCATATGCTGCAAGATAACTGTACATGCGACATCCACCAAAGCCGACCAGAATAATAAATGTACAAGATGAAATATGTGAACTCCCTTCTAATGCAATCTGCTAACCCAGCAAGAATTTGACAATTTGGGCGAGTGAAATAGGTTAATACGGGTAAGAGAGCTGAGCCATTAATGACCATACCGCAATATAAGTTGGCAAAGGAAAATCAAAAAAAAAAAAAAAAAAAAAAAAAAAAAAAAAAAAAAGAGGCTTGAATCACTCGCAACTCAGTTAATCTGGAAATACTATAGATTGTTTTCGGGTTGGTGGCTAGCTGCCAGCCTTTCTTTCCTGAGAAATACTAGTCTTCTTCTTTAAAGGAAGTATGTAACATTCGTAAGTTTTCCCTCTGGTCTTTTGGTCAAGTAAACCCAAATGAATAAGTGTTTTTTGGGTTGGGCTTCTGGTGCTAATTTCATTGTTTTTCTTTTTCCTCTTTCCCTCTCTTTTAATATTTGCTATTATTTTTTTCTTCTTGGTTCTAGACAAATCTATTCAAAACCTACTAAAGTTACTTGAAGGAAAACAAGTATGCACCTATTATAATATTTATATTGTATCAGTAACTTCAAATGAAAGAAACAATTGAAGTAAAATCTGGTGATTGTTCACAAAAATATATACTAGATGAGTTAGGCAGGTTGTCATGTTGGGCTAATCTCAAAACTGGCCCATTTTATCAGCAATAGGATCAGTTGGGTTGGGTTATGATGTTATCATACCTAACTCAGTTTGTCCAGCTCACATTTAACTTAACCTAGTCACTTTACCTCTAAACTAAAGACCCATAATCTAGAGATAGACTAAAGGATTTGATCCTCAGTCTTCTCTTATGGAGATACGAGGCTTTACCACTTCAAATAAATAAATCTGTTGGTTAAATGGGACTCCTCCCTCTACTGGTGAACACATAAGGGCAACGAAACTTGTTTTGATTTTGATTTCCCAACTCTCTTGGGAGAGTAAAATTTAAGTTCAGGTATTCTGCACTATCAGAAATCTGTATATTCTCACACATCAGACATATTTTGTGCTGTGTTATGAACCAGCTTTACTTTATGGAAGACCTATTTGCATCCACTAGTATGCTTAGACATTTTAGGTACTTGAGTTGTAGCTGTCACAGGATAACTGGGAAAAAATCAGGTGCACATCCATAATAATCAAAACAGAAGAGATGTCCATCAGTATGAGTAAAGAAAGAGACCTTACACTAGTGGATTGGAGCTCCAAGGCCGCCGGATCATCATTATCCTGCATTATAAAGTCTGGACTATTAACATCAATTAAAAATACCGTAACCACTTTTTTTTAAATTAACCGAGAAATCCTCAGTTAGCTGGTCCAACCCCTGTTAGCCCACAGGGTTGAAACTCGGGGTAGTATGGATCTGCCCCTCTATCCTCTCCACGTTAATACCCCGCTCCGTGGTTTGAACTGAAAAAATAACCACTTTTAAGTATATATGAAGATAGGTCTAGCTAAAGTACCTCAAGTATCAGATCTTTTCGAGTGATCATGCCAATAACACGAGCAGGACGTGGAACAACAAGTAAGTGCCTCAGTCCTAGTTGACGAAAAAGATTATAAACCTGTACCATTAACAGAATGTCAAACATTTTGATCATTTGAAGTTCACAATGGCTAAACTTAGTCCCAGTCATGAGTGAAATAAACTCGTCTTACACCTTCAGGCTCAAAATAACTAAACCTAATTTTGCCATGTTGTCTCCAATTCCATGCGACAGTTAGCAAAATAATGCCTTGAAAATTAATAAAGAAAAAGCATTAGAAGAAGCAAATATTAGAATAAGTGACTACATTACCTTGGTTAATGACATGTCTTCTGGGACCACGTAGGGAGACGGGTTTAAAAATGGGGCAAGATCAATGTACATCTCCAGATCATCTGGGGTGAAATGGATATCATGGAGAGATATCCCTTTACTAGAAACGGGCTTCACAAATTCACTAAGGTTGTGCCTGTGAAATACAGAATCTGTAAAATTTACATGTAGTGGACAAAGAAGCACCAGTAAGCAATCCTTGGTAATAGTTCAACTGAGTTACCTGATTGGCAAGAGATCACCTCTTGAATCACAGGGTAAAGGGCTATGCTGAAAATCAACTTTTGATTGTAGAAGCACCAGTAAATGACTGCATAATCAACAAGATAGAATAAATATATTGCTCAAGTCTACTGATTATGATCTTGGCACAGAAATCTTTGTAACTTCAAATAATGCATTAATAATAGAAAAAATCATCGCTATCTCTCACCTTCTTAGTATAAGTCCAATAACAAGTGTCTCCCCGCTTCTTGCATTATCAACAACCTAAAATTCAACGAGTAAGAAGAATGATCGAACAAGCAGATAGCTTCCATTAAACACTGCAGAGGGACAAAGCTTAACTTACAGGGAAACCATTGTGGTTATTGCTCCTCAATATAGAAACTACATCTGCAACCTTCACTACCCGAGGGAAGTATACAACCTAAAAGATGCAGGAATTAGGGGCGATTAGTGAGCCAAAATTTGAACAGCCACTGCACAGGTGTGAGCCAGAAGAGTATTAAGCATTCAGATTATTAGTCATGGTTAAATCAGATGGTGTTCCCAGCAGCATGAATGTAGAGGTCATTATTGAAGTATCATGGATACAGAGCTGCTTCTACACTTGTATTTAGCAGAAATAAAATAACAAGAAAGGAAGTAAGACTTCAGCCATCCAAATCAAACAACAGTGCCTAGCTCAATAACTTCAACTAGAAAAGGGTGAAGAAACCAACAACCGTTTTTGGTTCAATTCCGGAAAAAGATGACCTTCCACACAAACAAGGAAACAAGCATCTGCTAGTTGGACCGGAACATGACAACGGCACTGAAGAAACTCTTACCTTTTGATTCCCACATGCCTCCTTTGCTGTCACATAACGCATTTGATACTTTGGTCTAGATTCAAGTAATGGGATTGCCCTTAATCTAGCCTGCTCTTCATATAATCCTTCATTAAAAGCATCACCAACAGCCTACACATGGGTGACCCTTAGTCCTATGTCAATGGAAAGACAGCTGGAGAGTATTGTAAGCTGTCCAGCATCAAAACTCACCTTTGAGATGAGAAGAACCAGCATTATTAGAGGTAATAGCTTTAAGTTATTTGTAATCTCGACCATAATGACACAGAGAGATACAGTCATGCGCATAGAACCTCCAAGAAAAGATGCAGCACCCAGAAGAGCATACCTAAAATTTCAACAAAAAATGTTTAGGAGACTTTAGAGATGATTGAGAAGAAAAGAGATAGTCCAGTGCAAGAATATCATGTGAAAATATCTGCATATCAAACCTAAAACCTAAAAGTAAAGA